TGGAAAGTTTCAAAAAGGGGGAGTGTGAAAAGCATTAAGTCAATGTGTCTAGGGATACCCATTAGGTGTTGAAACTATAAAGCAAAGAAGTAATTTCTACAAGGCCAGGATAGCAGTTATTTTCAGAGGACAGGAGGAGATCTGATTGGGTTGGGCACATGGAGGGGCTTCTGAGAGAGTTGGTAAAGTTCTGTTTCTTGAACTGAGAGGAGGTTAAAAAGATATTAAATGTCCTTTCAATCAGCCAATTTGACTGTAATTGGTGATCTCAGTGACAGCTGTTTCAAGAGGAGGATTGGAGTAGAAGTCAGATTGCAGTAGCTTAAGAAAGAAATGGTAGGTATTGAAGTGTACACAGACTCTTGAGTCTAAGGAGTCCAAAAGTTTCACATGAAAAAATCTTGAAGGATTCACACCTGTTAAACAAGGTCATTCTTGAAAAATGAGAGTATGAGGAAAGCCAAGAGCCTTTCATTTTATATTTAATGTACCTGGGCAACATTTTTTTCAACAAGGTTGTATTACTTTTGTTAATATTTTCAAACCTGTAAATGTTTACTTTTTGAAGGGCTTCATAAAATAATAGAAACCTCTGGGGGGGAAAGCACGAATCTCCAACAGAAGAGTCCCAAATAATTTATGTAGATACACTCCCTCTCTTTGAAGGTAGAGTAACTCTCCATTCCTCAAGTGTGGGCTGTGTGTGGTGACTTCCTTCCGCAGAGTACAGTATGAGAAGAAGGGAAGAAGAGTAACTTTACAGCACAGAACCCTGACAAACACTACCGTGGTGCATCAATTAAGGTCAGCATCAACAGTGCTGAGTCATATCCTCGATATGATACGGTAAAAATGGCACCTTACCTCTGTGGCCTTTCTCCCCCCAAATTCATAACTCCCCTCTAATCATGAGAAACACACCAGAAAAATTCCAATAGAGGGGGATCCTATAATATACCTGACCAATAAATCCTCAAAACTGTCAAGGTCATCAAAAACAAGAAGAGTCTGAAAACTGTCACAGCCAAGAGGAGCCTAAGGAGACATGACAACTAAATGTAATTGGTATCCCGGATGGGATCTTGGAACAGAAAAAGAACATTAGGTAAAAACTAAGGCGATTTGAATAAAATATGGACTTTAGTTAATAATAATGTATCAATACTTGTTTATTAATTATAACAAAAGTACCATACTCATGTAAGATACAAATAACAGGGGAAACTGGGTACAGAATATAAGGGAACACTTTGTACTATCTTCTCAATTGTTTCTGCAAATCTCAAACTGCTCTAAAAATAGTCTATTTAAATTTTTTTAAAAATAGGAACCCTAAAAGTAGCAACATCACAGTATCTTTACCGAGTTTAAGTTGAGTTGGTTAAGTTTCCCACAATAAGTAAAACAGAGTACACGGTTTCTATTTCTCTTTTCTTTCTCACACAAATATTTTGAACCCATCAACAGACCATCTAGAAGACCCTCACTGACCAGTGATCTAGTGACACACTTGAGAACCGATGACTTTGGCACAGTATACAATTTTTAGACATTCCTCAGCACAATATAATAGGAAGCAAAAAAATATGGTATTGATGTGAATCTGAAAATACACATGGCAAGCTGGGAAGAGAGTACTCTTAAATAACACACAAAGGGAACCAGCC